ACAGAGCAGGGCGCAGGGCGCACGCATACATGTCTGCGACTCACCCTGTCTACTGGCCAGTGCATGGGTAGGAAGGTTGGTCGACGATCGCCCAGCCAGTTACGCGGAAGGAGACGGCGGCACATTGGCAGAGTGGCATGGCAGCGCACGAGAGCCCGATTCACATTTTACAGGGCCAGGTCACTGTCCCTGGCTTTTGCTTGTCCGTAATGCGCTCGCCCCGGCACCCTATCGCGTTAAACCCATAAGCTAATCCTGTCATGTCCCGGGACCCCCCGTCACTTTCAGAAAAGGCCCGATTCAAACCTACCTTCCTGCCGTGTTCCCTTGGCCACGAGCGCGCTCTATATATAGGAGGGATCCCTCCTCCGGCTGGCCGGCCACCACTTGACCTGACCACCAGCAGCACCACACCACCGGCACCACGCACGCATAGCTCACACGAGCCTGCTGCACGAACAGGACAGAGAGACATTGCCGGCTTGCCGCCCTCTGCCTCTGCGTGCCATACACTGATACACACGATCGAGTTCCAGCTGCTGTGCGAGCGAGCGTGGCAATAATGCAAGCAAGCAGGAGCAGGATGGGTTCTATGCATCACTCGCAGTCGCCGGAGAGCTACGTGAGGCTGCAAGGCCGGCGGTGGCGGCGGGGCGCGAGGGGGTTCCGGCTGTGCCCGAGGAACCGGTTCTCCGTGCGGCGGCTGCGGGCCGAGCTGCTCACGTTCCTGGGCCTCGTCGGCCGCTACGTGCGCCTGCTCGTGCGGAAGCTGTCGACCACGAGAGGCGGCAGCGGCGGCTGCGCACGGACCGGCAGCAGAAGATTTCTCGTCGTGACCGGGGCCGGGAGAGACAAGGCGCCGGCGGCGGCCGCCAGCGGAAAGCCGGCGCCGTTCATCGCGCGGTCCAACTCGTTCCACTCGCAGGCGATCGCCGATTGCCTCGAGTTCATCAAGCGCAACTCCGTGCCCGTCGAGGACTACGGCAGCGTCAGCGCCCGGAGCGAGCAGGGACACAAGATCGAAGAAGAAACAGTACACGAATGGCGTGGCATGGATGCGTGTTCCCAACGGAGCCTAAAGATGTGAATCTGATACCTACACGTACCACACGGATGGATGTAATAGGGCGTTTGAAATTTAGAGTTGCAAATGTTGAACTTTTTTATGGCATGTTCATTTGCGCACGCTACGACATTTTCCATCTCCCGCGTTTAACTAACATTGTGTTATTAGAGACTAGAGAGTAGACTTTAAACCTTGAGGACAGTGTTATTTCAGCGAACAACCGTTCAGGTCTCGGCGATTAAATTTGGGAGAAAAGGACCGGACTCGAATGATCGATGAATTTTCAAACTCAGTTTCGTTCAGCGGCGTGTAGAGAGGAGTGGTAGTACGACCGACGCTCTGGAGCCATTTCTTAGCACAATTGCTATAAGTCAGTCTGGTTGATTTAGCCCCTGCGACATGCGATTTTGTGGCCGTCAGATCTGGAATCGCACGGTCGCGGTGCTCCGTCAGTTGGTCGTGCGAGACGGGCTGCCAGTGCCCACCACATGCTCGTGCTCCAGCGTTCCAGGTCTCGGTCGCCCAGAATACACGCACGTATGTCCGTGGTTGGTCCGTGTACGCCCGCGTCTACGCCCGTGTATAGCTCCAGCGGAATACACGTAGTATGTACCGTGTACGCCCAGCCCACATGTATATTTGTATTTTTTCTGAAATTTGTGAATAATTTGTGAACAATCTGATGATATTTGTGAACAATTTGATATATATTTCTCTGATATCTGGAATCCATATAAATAATTTGTAATTTTTTCTGAAAAAATTGGCATATATTTTTGTTATTCTCAAATTACACCACTATGTCAATAAATTATACTGAACAAGTCATTGTAAATATAATAATAATTTAATGTAAATATAGGTAGAAGACAACGTAAGTGTATGAAAAAAATACAGTTAATAACAGGGCCAAAAACAACTGAATCTTACGTAGACAGATCCTTTCTTAATTTCCCCATGACCCGTGTGCATTATTCTTTTCCTAAACAATAAGCAAGTGATGACGACGAGAGTGATCTTTTGACGAAGCTTCTTAAAATTTTCGTTTGTGTCCAGCTAAAAATGGATTGGTTTCAGAGTTCCGACCAATGCAATTCCAGAATAAATAACAAAGTCTAGCCTGCCAGTACTCTATTTTCTAATGACTTGTTGGAGTGGTGTGGATAACGCTGGCTTGTCATTGGTCTTAGCTACTCTGTATTGGACGATTGGTCTTAGCTACTTGGTATTGGACTATTGGTCCCTCGGCCTCGGGTATATATCACGATTCTAGTTGGCGATTTAGCGTGACTGCCATTGTATCGTTCCAAAAAAAAATGTACATGAAAGTCTTTTTTTTTGCGATTAATGTGTATGAAAGTCTTACACATTAATCCATGATTTCCGACTAATTTACGAGATGAATCTTTTAAGCCTAATTAGTCTATGATTTGACAATGTGGTGCTACAGTAAATGTGGTGCTAGCGACTGATTAATTAGACTTAAAAAATTAGTCTCATAGAGTACTGACGGATTATGTAATTTATTTTTTTATTAGTATCCGAATACCTCATGCGACATTCTCATTTGATACCTCCTAAATTTTAGTCACCGGATCCAAACACCCTCTAAATAGTCATGTAAATACAGTTACAGTATGAACTAGATTGTTTCGATTTCACATTAAAACGTAAATTATATTATATTTTTTTATCGATTACGCAAAAGGTTTGCGCGTCTTTATATTAATGTAGAAATAATGTTCGTTAGAACACGTCTTAGCTGCGCCCTAGGAGGTCAATAAATTTTACATGGACGGTCAGAGCCTCAGACCCTCTAGTGTACTGAAAGTTATGCTGTTACATTGGCACTGGTCAAAAATATATTATAATTGATCATCTTTTGTGAAAACTAATGTAATAACGATGTTGCGAGCATCACACTTGGAATATCATTTTTAATAGTATAACACACGTTCATATTTATATTATTATAGTATTATTTATTTTCCGATGCAACACACGATTACCTATCTAGTAGTTTAAAAATGAGGCTCTTGCGTTTGTACCCTTATTTTGTATCGAAATTATGATTTTGCTTCTGTTTTTTTGACTTTGTGAATTTACCCCTATGATTTCAAAACGAAGCACCAGTTTGTCCTGCTCCGTCATCCACCTCTAACGGTGTTAAACTTTGTACAAAAGGACATGAATGCCCATGCGATTTTGCCCATGTTTGTTATGCCTAATTGTGATTTTACCCTGATTTAGAATTAGACCTTTTTATTGTATGCTGACAATTAATTAAATTTGGTCAAACATATTTGACACAACTTAAAATTATTTGAACTCAGATTTAATATTGATAAATATTCAAACATATTTGTCATCCGCTCCTATTCTTGCTGCTCGGTCGGAGTAGGATAAACTGAACAAAAAGAAGCTTCTTTGTGCTTTCAGATTACAGAGAATCAGAGATGGGGTGTGTGTCGTCCAAGATCCTGGCGAAATCAGGGAGCTTTCAGGAGAAGGTGAGCAAGCAGCACTGGGCCACAGACTTCGGAGAGGCAGCAGCGATCGAGGAGATCATCCTGTCCACCTCTAAGAGCAACGGCGACCAGTTCCTGGCCCCCCTCCGCAGCTCCACCTCGTTGGTCAGGAAAGCCAAGGAGCCCGCCGAGGTGCATAGCCCCGCGACGGCGCCGGCGTCGGCCGAGCCGCCGGCCAAGATCGAGACGATCGACGTGTCATAGCTGCTCGCCGGTCTAGAGGAGGAAGAGGGCTGCACGGCGGAGCAAGCGCGGGAACGGCGGCAGAGCAGTCGCGACGAAGACGACGCTCCGTGGTCCACGTCGGACGGGAGAGCGAGGAGCTTCCGCACGATGGAGGAGTTCGACGCGATGGTACTGACGCAGCAACAACAGACGCAGAGCGAGAGCGGCTTGCCGTTGGAACGACCGACCGCGCTGGCAACCGAACAGGAGGAGGAGCTCGCTACCACCACGGCGGCGCATGGGGCGGCGACGGCCTCCTCGACCATGGGAGGCAAAGCTATCAGCGGTCCGGGTCGAAGGTCGCCGTTGGAGCCAAGAGGCGGGCGAGGGCGCAGTAGCGGTGGCGGTGAAAACGTCGGTGGCGGTGTTCGACTTCTCCATCTCCAAGTCCGTGACCTACGGATCGGCTGCGCTTGGCGGCAGATCTTCTCGCCGGGCTCCTCGTCACGCCCGATTCGACGCGCCACGGCCGAAGGCCTTGAGGAGGCTGCCATGAAAGCAAAGCAGCAGCAGAAGCGCGTATTCGACCGAGCTGGTCGCGCAGATTCGAAAGCGCCATGGAGCAATTGTCGGTCGGAGGGGCAGCAAGGCATACTGGCTGGCCATGCCGCGACGCCCGCCCAGCGGCACCCGGTGTGAATGGGATAACTGTGACAAGGACATTTCAGTCATTTCACATCTAATTTTATGTGTTTTATTTTTTTTAAATCGTTTAATCAGTCTCTAAATAATGGACATCCAAACCGGGACAAACTGCTCATTCGTTTCAAAATAACAAAGTTGAAAAAATAAGAGTAAAATCATAATTGAACTTCTGGACAGGGGCAAAAACATTGTTTTTCCTTTAAAAATTGCGAAACGTTTCTAAAATTTCAAAACTTACTTTTTAGCCCACCAAAAATGTTAGTTTGATTTTTTTGACACATGTTACGGTGTTACCGCGACCATGATGAAGCAACTTGTTTTCGAAAAAACAAACAACAACGCGGTCACCGATTGGCTGGTCAGATGGTGTGGGCTTGTACACTTTTGTGGTGTTCCAGTGACCAGGCTACCAGAGACCGACGAGGTGTGAACTGTAATTTCAGATTTCAGAGCGCGCAGGCGCCCCTCTTGTGTCTCGAGTCTCGACCGCCGCCGCCGCCGCCGCCCTGAAGCCAAGCCAAACCGCGTAAGAAGCCATGGAGGGATCCGCCGCCGCGCCGCTCCGCACGCGCGTCTGCATCATCGGGAGCGGCCCCGCGGCGCACACGGCAGCCATCTACGCGGCCCGCGCGGAGCTCAAGCCCGTGCTCTTCGAGGGCTGGATGGCGAACGACATCGCCGCGGGCGGGCAGCTCACCACCACCACCGACGTCGAGAACTTCCCGGGCTTCCCCAACGGCATCATGGGCGCCGACCTCATGGACAACTGCCGCGCGCAGTCCCTGCGGTTTGGCACCAACATCCTCTCCGAGACCGTCACCGCCGTCGACTTTTCGGCCTGCCCCTTCCGCGTCACTGCCGACTCCACAACCGTCCTCGCCGATGCGGTCATCGTTGCCACGGGCGCCGTCGCGCGGCGCCTCCACTTCCCCGGGTCCGATGCATACTGGAACCGCGGCATCTCCGCCTGCGCCGTCTGCGACGGTGCCGCCCCCATCTTCCGTAACAAGCCCATCGCTGTCATAGGCGGGGGCGACTCCGCTATGGAGGAGGCCAACTTCCTCACCAAGTACGGCTCCCACGTCTACATCATCCACCGCCGGAATACCTTCCGTGCTTCCAAGATCATGCAGGCCAGGGCTCTCGAGAACCCCAAAATCAAGGTCGTCTGGGACTCGGAGGTTGTCGAGGCCTATGGCGGCGCAGACGGCGGCCCATTGGCTGGCGTCAAGGTCAAGAACCTGCTGAATGGTGAGGTCTCGGATCTTCAGGTGGCCGGCCTGTTCTTCGCCATCGGGCACGAGCCGGCGACCAAATTCCTGGGCGGGCAGCTCGAACTCGATTCAGATGGATATGTGGCAACCAAGCCAGGTTCCACTCACACCAGTGTCAAAGGGGTCTTTGCTGCTGGCGACGTGCAGGACAAGAAGTACCGCCAGGCCATTACTGCCGCTGGATCAGGTTTCACTCTACTTCTCTATGATAATATGATTTTGTCTTTCAAAGTGATTAATGTTCATACATATCAATCAGGGGAGCTTCTATTCCCCAGTGAGTTTCAGTAGAAACCATGAATGTTCAGTGTCAGGCTCAGTTTTTGTTAGCAATGTAGTGAGACTGAGAGTATGAGGCTTCAAAGAGGGAATTTGTTAAGACATAATAGCTTATTCTTGCTTTCCAGTAACACCAGATGCATTCCTTGATGATCTGAAGCAATTTAATCTCTGTATCTATGTCACAACATTATCCAAGATGGGACTCTTATAGTTATACTTTTGTAACTTATAAAAATACGAGGAAGTACAAAACAATGCATAAGGTAGTTTAAGATCCTCCAGCAGTCCCCTGATATCTCCCCTATCTGCATAAAACTGTCATATTGGTGGTAAATATATACTTTTTTCCTACTCCAGCAGTCTCCCCATGGGCTTGTATCTCCCCCAATAGCATGTGGCCCACCCCAACCATAACTTTTCAGCCATCTTTTCCCCTACACACATGTGGGCACCTTTTATATGGGTATTGGGGGAGATATATTGGGGGTACTGCTGTAGCAACTCCCCCAATATCCACCAAAATAGTATTGGAGGATAGATTATTGGGATACTGCTCGAGATGCTCTAATGACAAATCTGGTGATTTGGTTTCTATATAGGGTAGTTTTCAACGTTGCAGTTAACTAAAAGATTCCTGAACTTAGGGCAACTGAGCATATGGGGATCATTTTTGGGATTCCAAGTTGATGAGGTTTCAGGATTGTCCAGTTGCTACTCCTGCAATTTTATTTGTACTGCAAATCATATGAGACAATAAAATCAGAACTTATTGCATTCATGGATGAGGTTTAACAGATAAGTTCCAAGTTCAAGTCTCCTGTGTTCTTGACTTAGAGCTCTGGATGGGCATAAATGTAATAAGACTAAGAGCTGTGCTGAACAATAGCAAGTAGAGTCTTGGTTGAGAAATACCCCAAAGAAAACATTTAGGTGGCATTTGGATACACAGCGGGATAGGGATAAGGATATAGGCCAGGATATAAAAGGTTGGGTTAGGGATAACGATATGTATATTCAGTCCCTGTCTAGTGTTTGTTTTGCACTGGGTTAGGGAATGGGAAATAATTTTTGAATGGTCAAAATGCCCTCACCAAATCAACAGAAATTATTAGCACTGTTAATTGGATATATAATATTTTCTTCATGCCTTCGGTTGAGGACGGAGATCCTATCCCGGTCGTAACCCAACCCTCCCAACAGGATACATTCGGTGGGAAATGACGCGCTTATTTCCCTAACCCTTTCCATCCCTGTTTCCATTCCTGCGGAACAAACATCAGAAAAGATTTCCAAACCAGCCACATTTCCCCTTCCTGCCCTCAAAATCCCACAATCTAAAGTGCTTGTTAGCTTAAAAATGCTTCAGTTATACCAGATCATTTGAAATGCTTTAAATCAAAGGATTGAAATTATGCTTTAAATCAAAGGGTTGAAATTATGATAAATTCGGCTTGGCAAAGTGCTCATGAACTGCACAAATAATTATGCTTCATGCTTGAGTGGTTTGTTAAACTTGAAAAATAAAACGAGTACAGTACTACAGTGTATCTTGTATATACATCAAAAGAGTTAAGAGTTACCATCCTCTGTCCCAAATTATAGGTATTTTTGGCTTTTCTAGATGCATAGCTTTGCTATGCACCTAGATATACGATATGTCTAGATACATAATAAAAGTTGTTTATCTAGAAAAGCCAAAATGACCTATAAATTGGAACGGAGGGATTACATGTTTTCTGTAGGAAAGTCTGCATACTAGATGCATCTGCTCTGTACAAATCTGTTAGTCATTTGTTAGCCTAAATTGCCTAGTAGCTCAGTTTTTGGTTTAGCAATGTAGTGAGAGTATGTGGCTTCAAAGAGGAACTTGATTCAGGTACAATAGGAATTATTCATGATGATTTGAAGCAATTCAATTTCTGTAGTTTAATGATAAATTATCCAATATGTGACTTTAAAATACGAGGAATTTATTCAAAATAATGCTATAAAGTACTTTAATGACAAATTTGGTGATTTGATTTTTTTATGTCCATCATTATAGTATAGTTTTATACACAGATAAAAAAGAAAAAAAGGTACATTTCAGTGTGCGGTTAACCAAACGATTTCTGATTTTAGGGCAACTGAGCATATGGGGAGTGCTATTGTGACGTGGTAATTTGGGCTGGTAGACTCATATTTGGGTTGTTTTATTGTATTTCTGAGGTTTCACGTATTCACGATTATCTAGTTGCAACTCCTGTTCACTTATTTGAGGCAAAGGCTAGGTACTACTCCCTCCATTCCAAATTATATGACGTTTTGGCTTTTCTAGATTAATTGCTTTTACTATTATCTAGACATAGTGTATATCTATGTGCATAGCAAAAGCTATGTATCTAGAAAAGCCAAAACATCTTATAATTCGGAATGGAGGGGGTACAGTTGTACTGCAAATCCTATGAGAAAAGAAAGTCGGAAATTATTGCATACATGGATGAGGTTAACAAACAAGAGTTTAACTCTCATGTGTTCTTGAGAGCTCTGGATTGACATAAATATAATAAATTAAGATCTGTACTGAACAATACTACAATATCAAGTAGAGTCTTGGTTGAGATATGCCCAAAAGAAAACCATTTAGTTAAAAAATGCTGCAGCTAAGATATACCGGATCATTTAAAATGCTTTAAATCAGAATGAAATTATAATAGCTTCTATACGGCAAAGTGCTCCTGAACTGCACAGATGATTATGTCTACTTCATGCCTGATTGATTTGCTAAATGAAGGAATAAACCAGTGCAATGACTCCTTACACTTTAGAAAGAGTTACCTGTTTTCTCTAGGAAAATCTGCACACGAGATTCATCTGCTTTGTACAAATGTATTAGTTATCATTTAACCCAAAAAGAAATGCATACATTTACTTTTGGTTTGATTTTTACCCAAAATTTGATGTGATTCAAAGTAACGAATATAATTCTGAGGACCGAGCGGGGGCTCAATTGGCTAGCTCCGACTGGGGTCGAGCTGCCCACCCGCGTTTGAGCTTTTGGCTGGTGCGGGTACCTCACCTTCTTAAGAGTGTCCTCCCACTGTGCATTCTAAAAAAAAAAAATTCCCTGCAAATATAACTGTGCATCCGTGAAGAATTATTGGTAGAAGTTTAAGAAATGTGATTCAAAGTTCTGACCTCTGATCCTGTTGCTAGAGTCGTAAGTCGGAATGGGGGTTGCGTCTCAGTCTCTTGATAAGATCAATCTAGGAAACTAGCACTTTGTGGATGCGCGTGACCAATAGCTAATCCTTTATTTACTTGCGGATGTTGCAGGGTGCATGGCCGCATTGGACGCTGAGCACTACCTGCAGGAGATTGGTGCACAGGAGGGAAAGTCTGATTGACTATATTTGGGTGGAGCAACCAGCAGTCCATCGATTGGTCAGTTGCCGGTGCTGAAAGCTGCTCTCTGATGTGCGTTTATGCCATGGGTTGTCATGAACTCATGATTGAAGAACGTGACGATTTATGCTGCTTAGGATCACACTATTCTTATTATTAGGATCCAGAAGTACGTTTGAACTCTGTCTGAGCTTCTATTTACTGGATACCGATTCGTGATTACTGTTTTGAAGTTTTTGGCTTAGATATCTCTATGGCTCAAGTCTCTCATTATTGTGTTAATGGTGGTGTTATGCTGAGCTCATCTCCGTCAATGTCGAGCCTCTCAGCTTCAGGTCAGTTTCTTTCTTTCTTTTCAGAGTACGTTGATATTTTCATTTTTGAATGCAAACATTGATGTTGTCTCGATGGTCTCATATAATGCTACAAAATTTTGAGTCAACTTATTAGATTTCTGCACAATGAGTTGTTGTTTTATGTTTTATTGTAGTAACTTATAATTCCTTAATTCATGCATAGAATAAAAGGAACATTGTGAGTTGCACGACAATAATAACGAATACAACGGTGCATAAGCTGTATCATAGTTCTAAATTTTAGGTTATATATGAGGCTGTTGTTTTATAAAACATCTTTCTCTTACCTCCTATATATCATCAAAAGTCCTATATATGTGGCTATGGATGAGACGACATATGTGACCGCTGACATGAAACAATGTTACATGCTTATTTACCTTCAGTAAACAGAACTGCAGAAGAATGAGAGAGCCATCATCCCCAAACTGCGCATGCACATCAGCACATGACCAAACCGGCCTTCTGTAGTTCTGTTGATATATGGTCTTTCATCATCTTACATTCAGTAAAGCAGCGGAAGAACGAGAGCTTCATCCCCAAACTGCGGATACACATGACACAACCGGTCTTCTGTTAGTCTAGAGTACTCTAGTCTATATATGGCCTATCATCATCCTAAACTTTTGAAGTGATATACGAGAGATCCATATTCGTTTGGCTCTTAGATTAGGCCCTTAGATTAGATCAACATGGCGTGTACAATCAATAGCTAGCGTGGCAGAGATATCGCTTCAGGCCCTGTCAGCTCTACTTCTTTCTCTCCGTCTTCTCTCTTCATCGTCTCTCATGCCCTGTGCCCCTGTCTGGCTGTCTGCCCTCGGCGACCCATCCAGCATCAGCAGTACTTCAGCACCAGGCACCAGCGCCGCGGCTCTGGTCTTTGGGATTACACGAGCTGCCCTACGACGCAGCCGAGGTTGCATTGCATGGCCGGTCCTCAATCCTCATCGATCTGCTTGCTCCATGGCCACGGTCTGGATCCACGGCATGACTATAGGGTCAATATGCATGTAAGGTCTCCCTAAATTCTGGATTTAGACACAGGTTTGGGGAAGGAGGAGCCAGAACAGGAGGGCAGAAAAGGAAGATAAAAGACGTTTACAGAATAGTTCGTACTCCCGCTGACCACAATACACGGGTATTACACCGTCCTTGGTTCACAGGACCGCACAGTTGGACTTGGCCCATTTTCTCGCACAAAGCCCACCACTTGCTTCATCCTTCGTCGACCTGTGACAGTTCCATGGCCGGCTTGGATTATATTAT